CCACTCACAGTCTCAATTAATGAAAGTTCCATCTTTCCAATAGCGCAGGAAGAAATCTTTAGGGATTATCCATGCCTCCTCTTACTGCCTCATAACCTGCATCCAAACCTTCAGATCGTTGGTATACCCAGAACACGATTCCTTCCCTTCACTTCCTCTCTGGTCCAAGCCACCATCATATTTCACTTGAATTATTCCAACTGAGCTCCTTGCTTTCATCCCCCCTTCCCTCCCAGTCTGTGATCTTCACAGGAGCCAGAGTGAGTGATCCTTTAAGCTACACCTGCTCCTGTCACTCCTCTGCTCCAGCCCTTCCGTGGCTCCCCATCATACTCAGCCAAAATCTGTCCCTTGACCTAAGAGGCTCCTCGGCCTGACACTGCTCCCTCCCTCACTTTATCCCTCACTCACTCTGTTCCAAGTACATGGGAGCTCAAACATTCTAGGGATACCCTCCCATTAGGGCCTTTGAACTGGCTAGTCCCTCTGTCTAAAATATTCTTCCCTCACATATCAGATATGCCCTATTAAAAATTAGTCTTTGAGAACCCACCCCTCTTTCCTGGCCAATTATCCTTATCTTGCTACAGTCTTCTTATTTTCCCATAGTACGTGCCACCTATGAAGATAATTTACATATTTACTACGTTCAGTGTTAATTACTTACCTTCTACCATGAGAATCTAAATTCCATAGGGCAACAATTTTTTACCTGCTTTGTTCACCACAATACCCCCAGTACCCGGTAAGTGCTCAGTAAACATCTGTTGCAGGAATTAATAAATCCAAAGTACCCATCCTTATAGTATATATCGAAAATCATATAAAAATTGATTATTAATTAACTATCAATAAGTGATTGTAAAAAGGCTTGAAGAGCAAGCGTGACATGGCCTTCAGATTGAGAGTTGAACATGAGTCCCTTCTCCATCACTTAACCTGCCACCTCTGTGACTGCCGGCCTGAAACTCTTTCCATTTAGAACAATAGAAATCGTGACACCTGCCCCTCTGACTGAAAGGACTGAATGTAATAAACGTGCAAAAAGTCTTAGCACAGTGCCTAACATAGTATGGTTGTTTGTTAAATGTTAGAAGATCCATCTCCCTTTTCTCCTTCCTCCTTGACTATATAGGAAGTTACTTTCTGTGTCTGGTAAAGGTTGAGGAAGGTTAGAAAAGAATTTTACTTTACATGCCAATCAACCTGTGATAGACGCCTGGAGCACAGGTTTGGGAAGGGATTCAGCGGCCACGTGCAGATTCAGCTGGAACGGGCACCATGACGACATCTACCCTGGCATTGGAGGGGAGAAGGGTGACACTGGAACAGAATATGCCCCCCTGGATTTAATGGCTCACCCTACTGCCTCACAGAAAAGAACCTCTGCTTCTCAGAGTGCTCATTTGATTTTCCTAGCATAACTGTGAGAGGAGCTAGGTTACACCAGCAGCAACTGCAGAATTATTTCTGGGGTTAAGGAAAGCCATAGGAATGAGTGTCCCTGATGGCAATGACTCACTGCCCCCCACCCCCGGGAAGGGCGGTTCCCACCCAGGCTTGTCCTGCGACACACAGTATATTAATTTTAGCAGTGCTGCTACTGATGCTGAGGTTGAGGCCCCGTGGAAGGTTTAGGTGAGAACTCTTGCAACCTGCGGCCCCTCCGGCCTCACACCACACCCACCGCCACTAGAGGCCTCACTTCCATACCGGCCTCAGAGGGCGCTGCCTCTGGAATGGGGTGACTCGTGACTGGACGGCGCATCCAGGGTCATAGCAACCGCCGCGGCCCATCCCACATTCCTCAGAGTAGAATTAAAGCAGTCTCTTCTGCAGAGGCCAATCCAGAATCAGAGTATCTGATCCAATGCGTTATTTCCCTGAGTAGCTTGGAGTTTCAAATACAAGAGAAAAAAAAAAAAACAGAGAAGCAAAGTCTGGGCTGCTCCCGCCCCCCCCCACTTCGCCCCCCACTAAAACTGAAAACAATCAGAGGAGTCAGAATTGTACACGAAGATGTTCTGTTGGCATTTGGCAAAATTCATGTGAGGCCAAAGCTCAGAGGACAGAAGGTAGCCAAGGACTTAAGATCTCTTAGAAAAAGCAGGAAATGCCGCTCAGCAAGACTTCACCATGTACTGGTAAGTTTGTGTAAACTTGGTGCTTGAGGTACACCAAATAATTAATGGCTATGAAACCACTGCTCAGTCATTCACTTGGCCCAGGATCCTAAAATACAAGCATCTGGGAAAAAAATAGTTCAGCAAATGGTCTTCGTTCCACTTCTAAATACATACCTATAAGCGTTTGCAATTCAAGTATGTTCTTGACCATTCTACCTGAACAAGTAATCACAATTCTATGAACTCATGGACCTATAAGAACAATGCTGCACTGTCTATTTTTTTTTCTTTTTTTAAGATTCTGTTACTCTGCTTCATTCTATCTTTTAATGTTTAAAAAGATTTATTCTCACATGGACAAAGTGATCCATATAATGAACAGGCTTTTAAAATTTTAACTTTTTTGCCATTCTTACCAGAATATCTCAAATATTTTCCTCTATAAATATTCAGTTGGGCGGGGCAGTTAGAATGACGAAACAAGTTTATTTTGAGAAACATAGCCAATGTTCTCAACAGCCTTGACCTATCTTTGTACACAATCCAATCTGGCAGATGTACCAATCCTCTGAGTTAAAGATAAAAGACCCATATAACTGGGGCATCGCGGTCCTCAATGTCCCTTAAACTGTACTCCACATAACAATCATATGTGAATATTTGTGTGTGATGGCACAAGGCTTACATTATACATGGATGCGGCAAAACTTCATCTGATCCAGTTCCTCTGTTTTTTCGTAAACCAAGTGGTCTGTGCACTAGGGCATATCTGTAATGTAGGGATGCAGGCTGGGCAGCCGTGTTCGAGAACTCCATATTTGAATGGCGTATTTATTTACCCCATGTCACATTTATTGCCTAATCTCAGGGACAAGGTCAAAGGCAGAACACCATCAATGGTCTGCCAAACACATATCATCCCATTTTACGCAGAGTGGTCTTGTTCATCTTCAGGAAGGAGTTACAACACTGTCAGTCACTCCTCCACCTGCACAGAAATACGTGGCTGCTACTTACACACGTGAGCCTATTTTCTAGCAGAAACATCTAAGTTTTCAAATTGCAGTCTCTTTACCACATATTCCAGATGTTCCAAGTAGGCTAGATGAAACGTAATTATATGAATCCCATGTAGTTACGGGTGCCTTCAAATGCTTCAGAATGGCACAAAGCGTAAACAATTCAACTTTTGCACAGTAACTCAACCTCAACTAAATGAGCTCTGGTTTTCTAAACCATATCTAATCGATTCAGGCTGTTCGCCAATATTTAGTTCTCTCCGTCCTGGCACATGGTAGGATTATCCTTCCGCCCCTGTTATACCTAGCAAGGGTATGTGACTTGCTTTGAAGCGAATGACAGCAGTGCCACCTCCTGAAGGAAGCCTTGAAAGCCAACGGCATCTCACCACATCAGTCTCTTCCTCTGCCACAGGGATTGTCAATGTTCTCAATGTGGCTGCTCCACCAGTCTAGACCCCAGAATGAAGGTGATGAAAATACACAAGACAGATACATAAGCAAGAAATACACATTATTCTATATCATAGAGCCCTCGGAGTCGTTTGTTACGGTAACATAACCTACCTAGTAGATACACAATAACCTGACTGAAACACCAACCCCTCATAGGAAAGATACCGGGACATTAAGTACTCTGGCAAATGTTCCTATGATCAAAACAGAAGAATCTGGGGTTGTATCTTCTGTATTATACAGTAGCATATATACGTGGATATAGAGAGAGACTTCTGTCCCACTCTCTCCACGATATTAATAAATAAATAAATAAATAAATAAATAAATCCTCAAATCAATTGGATAATAGTCTGAATATTTAAAAAATCAGTGCTCAAAAATCGCAGAGACACAGAGTTCCCCCAGCAAAAAGGGGCTTGACCCATTCGTCAAAGTCATTCGCAGAGTTCCACTTCTTTTTTAAGATCAAGTATATTAAACGAATGCAGAGCTTCAAAAGGGCTTCATTTTGAGTGATCCAAGAGACAAATAAATTAGCTGCCAATGGCTCCTTTGTAACTGAAGAGGGCCAGGCTGACCCAAGGGGATGGGACTAAATCAAGAAGGAAACCGTCCAAGTAAAAGCAGCATTTGGGGACCTGAAACAAACCAATAAAGCCGTCTCACACACTCATGTCCAAGAGGAAGGGTGGGCCAAGCACATGTGTGTGTTTACTCACTAATAAGAAGATGCAAATGTCCCACACCTGACTGATTTCTTATGTGCTACGACCATAAAAATGGTTGTCTGAAATACACATTTGTTTGAGCACCATGCTCAATTGTGGCAACTTATTAACTTGATCACAGCACTACACTTATGATCTACATTTCCCTTTGAAACAATGTGACTCTGGAAGGTTTTTTATCCCCTTATTGCAGGGAGGAATTGCTTACGGTTTCTCATTCAAGTACGTGAAGAACTCTCCGTTTTTAATTTTCTGGCAGAGCTTTTAAGTGATGACTGAGTGAGGGGTGATGTCATATGTTATCCTATAACGGCTGGTGTGGCTCTCCCTGCTCCCTTGAAGCATTCCCCTGTTTCTGTGGCAGACAGTGCTCCCCAGTTTCCATCCTTTCGTCAGCCTCTTCCCAGCCAGCCACAGGCAAACAGCCTCCCAGTAGTGGACGAAACAGGAAGTCTGACAGCTTGAGTCTGCAGTGGGACCCCTAGTGTTTTCCCACTCCATGTCCTGGCAGCGTTCCCCAGAAGTACAAACACACGCACACAGAGCTCCCATTGTTACAGCCTTCCCCAGCCCACTGATCCTAATATGGAATGCAGCAGGAAACCCATGATTTCCTGACACTCGGCAAGCTGGAGGAAGCAAGGGGAAAACTCCATTAAAAAGCCCAGCTTTCCTCCATGTTAGATGTGAAGTGGAAAATCGGGGAGATTCGGCAAAATTCCACCGTGTCTTCAGCCAGGCTGGAGAGGGGGAGAGCAGAATGAAACCCTCAGGCTGTTGAGATTTCCAGACTTCCAGGAAGTCCCTCGAACTCAGTGAAAATGAGGGTTTCTGCACTGAATCTGACAGGAAAAAGGGACAGACCCTTTTCCTAATTCTCGTGTGTGTGTGTGTGTGTGTGTGTGTGTGTGTGTGTGTGTGTGTGTGTGTGTGTGTCACCTTTCTTTACCAGCATGGGAAGCGAGAGGGCACTTGCCAGCTGCCTCAGACAAGTCTGCACGGTCCCAGGTACCCAAAGTGAGGCAGAGTGATCTCCGCCCGGCTCTGGCTTCCCGCCGCCTCATGGGTTTGGGGAGAAGCGGGAGACTCAGCACCAGCAGCAGCCGCCCTGTCCCAGCAGCTGGAGCCGCAAGGATGAACTGCAAGGAGGGCAATGACAGCAGCTGCGGCTGCAGTGGCAGCGAGGAGAAGAAGATGCTGAAGTGTGTGGTGGTGGGGGACGGCGCCGTGGGGAAAACCTGCCTGCTGATGAGCTACGCCAATGACGCCTTCCCAGAGGAGTATGTGCCCACTGTGTTTGACCACTATGCAGGTAAGAAAAGGCGCAGACCCGTCCCTGCACACGGGGTGGGGAGTGATGTCCGGGGTGACACCCCAACTGCACAGGGGACTGGCCGATCGATCTCTAATGTCAGTATTGGGTGCGGGCCTGGCAAGACCCAGGGAGCTTAGCGTAACATACCACCAAGGACTTCGCTGCAATTATCAGGAGAAAAATTTGTACACGAACCTGTAGTGTAACACTTTTTCCACCCCCTAAAATCAAATGAATAATACGGGGTAAATACCCTGAAATGTCCTCTAGGCTTTAGGGCCAGAGATTCTGCTCCACATGTGCCTGAGATTCATCAACTCTTTATTGTGAACATTTTAAAATGTAGTGTAATTGCATCACAGTTGGTTTTTTACAAAAAGAACATCACCACACAGCTGGTGAAAGAAGTGTTCTTGCCGCTTTTCCTACACTCATGCCATTCATGAGTGAAAATGCTGAGATTAATAAACATTCAAACTTTCCTTTTTCTATAACAATTGGTTCTGTACCACTGTACTTTGATTTTCCTGGGGTTGTGGGCAGGAGGAAAGTATTAAAAGAGTTTAAATATCTATTAGGCAATCTGTATCTTGATGGAAAAGAAATATTTTAAATTGATAGGTTTTAAAAAGTAAAAATAAAGATAAAAATAAAATTGGAAACATTTTAAAGTATGTCCCCAAAGGACAAAATTGGGGTTAAAATATTTTAAAGTATGGTAGTTAATATAACATAGTCATAAATTAATTCTTTCAGGTATATATATATATATTTTTTTAAGTGTTCGAAAACTTGTAGTGTGATAGCTTATCAGGGTGAGACCTTATCTAAATTTTTCCATTTTACCCTTCTTTTTTCTCTTAATTTCCAAAACAGATCTTATTAAATTTCTTAAAGGCAAGTTCATGAAATTCTTCAGAAGTTTACAATAGCTCAGATTTTGTAACTTTTTTAACACAGTGATCAGCTTGGTGAGTTATCAGAGAGGAGGTTTTGTAAGAGGAAAATTTCCCTCACCTTGGCTCCGGGTCAGACTCTGCAAAGGGGAAATGGCCCACAGGAAACCTGTGTGTGTGTTGGCTTTGGTGTGTGGCCATGTGAAATCCTCTTTCTGCAGGAAGTAGCTTCTTTTCCAGAGCTAAACAATCACCTAAGTCCCTTCCTCCTCCTCCATTTACATGAGTTATGACAATATTACAGAGCAGACAGGAGAGAACCATAGTATCAATTTCCCGGCAGGTTTTTCTATATTTGTAGAAATTAAGAGCAAATTGGAATGTTGGCTCCTTTATGTTTTTCTAATAATATGACTATGCCTGGGGAAAAATATTTTAATGAGAACAGAATAAAGAGAACAGGTAGGCTTTCACTTTGAGGGGGAAAAAATGGAATATGAAATTGGGGGTCTGCAACTTAAGGAGGTTATTAGGATAGTTGACCTGTAAATGTTTTAGCAAAGGTTATTTATTCTACACTTTCTTGCTGCCAAAAAAAGGAAAACTGGCTGATACCAAATTTCAAAAACTTGTAGATCACAGATGGAACCCCAAATCTACTGAAGGGAGAGGTTTCAGTGCTTTTGAAAGTTATGTATCCCATCCCCATCTACTGGGTGAGCCAATTACGGTGTGTGTCACAAAGAGAATAAATCGTCTCTACAGATAAAGTCAGCCTATTAGGAAAAAAATGAGAAATTAAGCACCACTAGGGCCAAATTATTTCATACTTCAATTGCGTACATGTTTATTGTTATTTGAGCATCAGAGCATCTTAAAGAATGAGTACTCAATTTTATCTCTCAGGAAATCACAGCTACTACACCCAAAGCAATAATTTGCACATAGTAGGCATTGCCAACATCACTGCTTCGATTTATACCTTGTATCTTTTTAAGTACGCCATCTTTTCATGTGTTTTCACTTAGGTCCTAGGGGAAATGAAGACATGAGCCACATACACAGAGTATAGCAATGAAGTGAACATTTCCATCAATGAAGGGATCTCCTCCATCACAGAGACTCTAGTTCCTTTTACCACCATCCTCTAAATGTACGAGCTAAATTTTTATACAGTCAAGTGAAAATCTACAGCCCATTGTAAAAAATCTAATGCTCTCTTCTCCATGTGGAGAAGTAACAAGTATTCAGTACCTGGGTCCTACCAGACTATTCTGAAATCACAGGCTACACGCAACTGGTTTACTGAGTCTTTGGAAAATTGTAGCTCAAGCTAAAGAGAGGCTGTCCCTTAAAGATGTTTCTCTAATAGATGTTCGTCCCAGGAAGGTAGAGATGTAATAGTCAGGATGGAAGTACAACATACTGCTCAAAATAATATGCTGTAAAGCCAGACAGCCCAGTTCTAGTACTGGTTTTGCCATTACTGTGTGGCCTTGAGTAAGTTACTTAACCTCTCTGTGACTCAATTATCACAATAGGAATAAGAGAGAAAACAAAGGTATTAGTATTATTATAGTTATATAATAATACTATATAATAGTATTAATAGTAATAATAATATACAGTATATTAGTATATTATAGTTATGTATATTAACTATAATTTACGTAATAATTGATAAATACATCTATATGGAGTTATAGTACCTGCATATTTGCTTAGGAAAAGAAATATTGGTTTTGCATGAGTGATTATAAAAAAATCAACAAACAACTAAAAAATCTTTTTTAAGTTTTATTAATCTTGATGATTTTCCCCTCTTCTCACCTGCCAGGATCTGAAAGCACATCTCTTTCGTGTAGCTTCCCTTGACTCTCCAAGGGAAGAGGTCCTGCTCCACCTTCAACCCTCCCCAGAAATTAGTTACCATTTCTAGCACACAATTTCCATTACTGGGTAGCAATTTATGTTTCCTTATTTTCCCATGCTCACTGTGTCCTGAGCTCCTGAGGAAAAAGGATATGTATTGCTCAATCCAGGGTTCAGTTCTCAGCCCTCCTTTTACTTTCTCTTGGAGGCTTTTTGTATTACTCCCCTTGAAACGTTTTCTTTACTTGGTTCCAGAGACACCACATTCTCCTGGTTTTTATTCCGCTCACTGGCAAATCTCCCCCCATCTCCTCTGCTGTTATCTCCCTCTGTCCCAGCCACTAAAGGTTGGCGCACCTCAGTGCTCAGCCCCTTGGCCCTCTTCTACTCATGCCCTGGTCGATCATATCTTGTCTCATGACTTTAAATATTATCTATACATTGATGGCTCCCAAATGTGTACCTTTCATCTGGATATCTAATAGGCATCTCAAACTTAACCTGCCCAAAACAGAACTTTCTAATTCCCCCAACCAATTCCCCTAGTCTTCCCCACTGAGGTACATGAACCCAGTTGCTCAAAGCAAAAAAAGAAAAAAGAAAAACTGGTGTTCTCCTTAAGTTCTTTCTTCCTTTGACAACACCCCCTCCCTTTCCATCCAACCTACTGCCAATCAGCTCCACATTCAAACCACATCTCAAACCTGACTACCTCTCCCCACATCCATTGCTTCACTCTTGTCCAATCCACCATCATTTCACATCCAAACTACTGTCATCACCTCCAGATTCCCTGCTTCTAATCTTGCCCCCTATAGTCAGTTCACATGACTGGCAGAGGGCCGATCCACGGCCCCCAATTCTCCAATCCCCTAACAGTCAGACCCCATTAGTTGTCATAGTCTATAAAGTACTCCATGACCTCACCCCTGTTATCTCTCCAACCTTGTCTCCTCACTCTCCACTCCAGTATTTCTGTCCTAGCCACACCAGCCATCTTGATATTCTCCAAACATATGCAATTCCTTCCTCCCTTGAAGACTGTATTTGCTCTTCCTCCAGCCTCACACCATTTCTCCAGATCCTCCTCAGCGTCAATTGATCAAGCTATTTAACAAATTTACATACATGCAGAGTCATTCTCTAAACTCTTATCCTGCTATACCGTTTTTTCATAACATTTCACACTACCTGGCATTATGCTTCTATTTATTTTCTTACCATTTTTATCCACACTAAAATATAAACTCCATAAGGGCAATGACTTTGTCTTGTTCACTGTTCTATCTGTCCCCACCTTCTAAAACAGAGCCCAACATAGACTCTCAATAGATAGCCATCGTATAAATGAATTAGTATGTTTTAATAATCTTAGGTCCTCCAGTGTTGAGACAATTTCTGGTCCATTAAAACTTTGATGAATAGCCCTGTCTGGCATGGCTCAGTGAATTGAGCACCAGCCTGCAGACCAAAGGGTCACTGGTTCAATTCCCAGTCAGGACACACACCTGGGTTGTGGGCCAGGTCCTCAGTAGGGGACGCTCAAGAGGCAACCACACATTGGTGTTTCTCTCCCTCTCTTTCTCCCTCCCTTCCCATCTCTCTAAAAATAAATAAAATCATTTAAAAAATAAAATAAAGTAAAACTTTGATGAATAAATGAAAAAATTGTTGGTTTAGTAGGTATCTCTTTAGGAATGAACATATAAAAATATTTAATACATGTATTATAATTTTGATCTACTTTGTTCACATGTTAAATAATTATTTTAATCTCTACCAGAACTGTAATACATCATTGAGTTTTCTTGACCTAAGTGGCCAATATCAAATCTATCAAATATGTAACTCTAATGTGTAAATTTCATTTGGTAACAAATGAGATGTACTCAAATTCCTCCACATATCCAAAACCCTGCCTAAATTTTGGGTGGCACACTCAAACACTTAGTTCTTACATAAAGAGCATATTCCAGAGCAGCCCCACGTTCAACTAAATGCTAGGACTAAAAATGGGGGGCAGAAGGATGGTGGTAGAAAGGGCCACTTAGGCTTTTTACAAGTGTCCCTAAGAAATATCTCTGGGCCCTGCTTTCTACTCTCCAGAAAGACTGAAGATGTCCTAACAACCGTCAGAGCCTTCGCAGCCTACCATGGAACAACCACATATTTTCTCCCTTCCTATCTTTATCCTGTCTTTAGATTTGAGTTTTGTAGCAGACCCTTCAC